AGCAAGGGACCAATGAACAGCTACCAAAAGAGAAGAATGTCCACACCTTTATCTCAGCGGTTCTGCCAGGCGTCTGTGGCCGCTCCGATCCTTCCCCTGCTTGGCCTCACCCAAGATGGCGGCTCCTGGAGCTGCCGAGCGTCCCCGACTAGAAAGCAATGGATTTCTTGTTTCTGCCACAAATTCCCCCAGCTGTAAGCCTTCCAACCTTCTAAATATTCCTTTATATGTGGTTCAGAGCTCTGGGACCATCCCCTGAGCCTGCTTGGTCGGGTATTCTGTGTTGTTGCTGGTGGAGTTCTTCACTGCATTTCCACCTGATCTTCCATCTTGTTTGTTCTTCTGTTGTTCTTGTTAAGTGCCATCGAGTTGAGTTCTGACCCATAGTGACCATGTATAGGGTTTCTGAGGAGTGGTTGGTGAGCTTAAACCACCGACCTTTCAGTTCAAACTGACTTTGCAGTCCAGCACATTAACCCACAGGACCACATCAGGACTCCATCCTAGGTATTAGTGAGCTGAAATGGACTGGTAATAGCCATTTTGAATCTGACAATCACACAGTTTCCTCTGCCAGGAATGACAAATTGAAGAGGAATGGCATTGCATTCATTACCCAAAAGAACATATCAAGATCTGTCTTGAAGTACAACACTGTCTGAGATAGGATAATATTCATATGCCTACAAGGAAGATGAGTTAACACCACTATCATTCAAATTTACACACCAACTACTAAAGCCAGTGATGATGAAATGGAAGATTTCTACCAACTTCTTCAGTCTGAAATTGATCAAACTTGCAATCAAGATGTGTTGATAATTACTGGTAATTGGAATGCAAAGGTTGGAAACAAAGAGGAAGGATCAGCGGCTGGGAAATACAGCCTTGGCGATAAAAACAATGCTGGAGATCTCATGATAGAATTTGGAAGACCAATGACTTGTTCATTGCAAATACCTTTCTTAAACAACATAAAAGACAACTATATACATGGGCTTCAACAGCTGGAATACCCAGAAATAAAATTGACTACATCTGTGGAAAGACACGGTGGAAAAGCTTCATATTATCAGTCAAAACAAAGCCAGGGCACACTGTGGGTCAGACCATCCATTGCTCATATGCAAATTCAGACTGAAGCTGAAAAAAAGGAAAACAAGTCCACGAGAGTAAAAATATGACTTAAAAGAGGACTTAAAATACTTACTGATGAAGACCAAAGACCTTACCAAAATAAGGGTTACATCTTAGTGTAAAGAAAACAAAAATCGTCACCACTGGACCAATTAACAACATCCATATAAATGGAGAAAAGATTGAAGTTGTCAAAGACTTCACTTTTACGCAGATCAACCATCAACACTCATGGAATCAGCAGTCAAGAAATCAAATGATGTATGGCATTAGGCAAATTTGCTGCATAAGGCCTCTTTAAAGTATTCTAGAGCAAAGATGTCAGTTTGAGGACTAAGGTGCACCTGACCCAAGCCATGGTATTTTCAATAACCTCATATACATGTGAAAGTTGGGCATTGAATAAGGAAGACCATAAAAGAATTGATGCATTTGAGTTATGGGTTGGAGGAGAATATTGAAAGTACTATAGATTGTCAAAAGAACAAACAGCTTTGTGTTGTAAGAAGTAAAGCTAGAGTGCTCCTTTGAAGCCTGGATGGCTAGACTTTGTCTCTTATACTTCAGACATGTTATCAGGACGTACCAGTTACTGGAGGATATCATGTTTGGTAATTTGGAGGTTCAGAGAAAAAGAGGGAGATCCCCAATGAGATGGATTGGCACAGTGGCAGCAGCAATGGGCTCAGGCCTAGCAACGATTGTGAGGTTGGTTCAGGACCAGGTAGGGTTTCGGTCTGTTGTGCATAGGGTCACTATAAGTCAGTACCATCTCGATGGCACCTGATAACAATAACAACAGCATAGGGTTTCTGAAGAGCAGATGGTGGGTTTGAACTGCTGATTTTGTGGTTTGCAGTCCAGGCTTATCCTATATGTGCCACACTATGAGTCCTCAGCGAATTAGAGGCTGAAAATTAAGTAAAAATGAACGCATCTGATTAAATGTAATGATGGAGTATTAAACTGTTATATATTAAGAAATAAGTTTTGGAATTTCTTTTCTCTTTGGCTCTGAGAAGGAAGGAAATTCTTAAGTTTGCAGAATAACGTCAAAGAAAAAGCCATAACTCCCTTGTCCCCAATTCCCATATTGGTTTACAAGTGGGTCTCATTTTAAATAAAAAATTTATTATGAGTAAAAGTATATTATTTGTGTTAGTCAAATAGCATTTATTAAAACTTAAGCAAATTGAACATAGAGTATTAAATGCTTTCAATTTGCATTTTAATATTCTTTAATAAAAAATTGTATAATATGAAAAATAGTCTTTCTCAATGCCACTCTCCAAGCCCTTCCTTCCTCTGTATATACTCTTGCAAATCTTTCTAGAATGAATTTGAAGGTAAGCAAATGAAATTGGTATTTCAGTGTAGGACTATTTGGCAATATCTATCAAAATACACCCTTGGAAACCCTGTACAGGGTCGCTATGGGTCAGAACCGACTCGATGGCACTTAACAACAACAACAATCAAAATAAAAAATAGGCTTTGATTCAAGGTTCCAGTTCAAAGATTTATCACACAAATCTACTTGCCTATTGTATAGGGCTACTGATTGCAGCTTAGTTTGTAATAGTAAGAGTTTGGCACCAGTGTAAATGTTCATCTGTAGGGCTAAGTATGTCAGGCATGTTTGCATATGATGGAATATTAAATACTGTACCTAGGAGGGAGGATTGCCAAGATACGTTGAGAAAAGCAAGCAACAGAACAGTATATATAATGCATTATCTTTTGTGTAAAAGCATGTATCCATGTATTCTAATGTGTAATATATATTTCAAACAATACATTAGAAAATGCTAGCATTGATTGGCACAGGACACGGCTGGTGAGACAATTAACACCAATCAGTCTGTTGTTAAGTGCCCTCAAATTGGTTCTGACCCATAGCGACCCTGTGTAGGGTTTCTGAGGAGTGACTGTTGAGCTTGAACCGCCGACCTTGCGGTTCAAACCGGCCTTGCATTCCAGAGCATTAACCCACAGCGCCACACCAGGACTTCATTTCCCACTCTATACTATCATAATTCATTTTGAGTTTTGCATGAATATATTCCCAAACTTGTGTGTGTATATATGAAAGAGTGAAACTTAATAGAAATAATGTGAGGTTAAGAATTTTAATGAAAATGGAAAATACTATACTTCTTGCTAAGTGCTGTGGAGTCAGTTTCGACTCATAGCAACCCTGTATAGAGTTTCTGAGCAGCGGCTGGTTAGGTTTGTCCAGTGCGTATCCTAATTACCAACTTTGGGGAATGGTAACTTTTGTATGCATTCTGCTTAGAATATTGTTGTTGTTATGTGCCATGGAGTCAGTTCCGACTCATAGTGACCCTGCATAGGGTTTCTGAGTCTGTAAATCTTTAAGGGAACAGAAAGCCTCACCTTTCTCCCACAGAACAGCTGGTAGTTTCAAACTGCTGACCATAATAAGATTAGCAGCCCGATTCATAACCACTATGCTACCAGAGCTCGTTTCTGCTTAGGATGGTCTATAACAAAGCTCCTCAAAATCCTTGAATTTCAAATTTGTAGAGGAGTGGTGAAGGTAGGAGACACAGGGATGGATGCAAGAGTTACAGTGATTAGAGCTAAATCCTGCTAATTGATGATACATGGAGGGGACTGCAATCATTGTGATGAAGCAAAGTATATGATTGTTGAAGGTAAAACTGACAATCTGCTTTGTAAACCTTCACTCAATTCACAGTAAAAAGTTTAAAGAAAACCCATGAATTTTTATTAAAAATAAAACCTTCAAAATATTTGCTTCAAAAGTAGCTAATAGGAAAAAAGCAGTTTCATAGAGTTCCCTCATGAAAAGCAGGTAATAAGCGACGGGGGATTATAGAAAAGTGCTTCACAAATGAACTAGAGGTGGTCTCTCTAGATGGTTAATGCACTACGTTGTATGAAACCCTTTGAAAATCCTGCCTAGTGTACAGTATTTTTACTCACTTAAATTATGGGTTGTCCTGAATTACAGAACGTTAGGAAGTGGAGACAAATATTAGTGTCAGAAAATGTTTACATGACGCAGGATAAGGGCTGACTTGGCTCCAAGGGATAGCTATCTATACATGACAAGAGTTAAACTGAAGAGTTTTTAAGCAGACTCTTGCACAAGCTCCACTCCATCTTCAGCTTTCTGAGGGGACCACTGGGCGACAAGCCTGGGCATCAGGGCTAGAGGGGCTTCAGGGTTCGGCCAGTCCCGGTGAAGCTTCCAAATCGTCTACTGTGGCCCTGACCACGACAGGGAGATGGCCTGGCCCCATTCACCTGAGTCCTCAAACCAGTAGATCTGGCTCGGCCCGACCCCGCCCTTCCGAATCACACTCCACACTAGCGGGTTTATGCTCAGGAGGGTGTGCGTGCGCTTCAAGTGCAGGCCCGGTCCTGCCCGGCCATCCTGTCCAACCCGGCCACACTGCCCAGAGGCTCGGGCCTACGCCACCTTGGCGCGTTCTCGGTCTGTCTCTTGTAGCCTGCCCTGACTACATGGCACGTCACCACCCAGAGCACGCACAACGTCTCACAGTCCGGCAGGCCCCGACAGCACCCACTTCTCCCAAGGGGGAGGGGGTGCATCTACGTCACTAGACGCCCCGCCCCCGCCCGGCTCTGGTCACATGGGTGGCGCGGCCGCTGCGTCAGCCACAGTCCCGGCTGCGGGAGTCGATCCGCGGCCGTCAGCGGACGGGGCGGGGATCCGGGTGCCAGGTCCTCGCCAACCCGCCCCCGCCGCCTCCGTCTGCCGTCCAGGTTCTGCCCGACTGTCATGGGTCGGGGCAGGATCTCTGCCCGTTCCGTGTGAGGTGCGTTGCCGCCGCTGCCACCGCCGTCTTCGCTTTCCGAAGACTCCTCCCCACCTCCACTGCCACCGGAGCCCCTCGCCGTGGCCTGCCCGTCGCCGCCCCTGGGCAGGTTCGAATGTGCGTCCGGTGAAGGTGCAGGTCCGGCGCCGCCGCCGCTGCCGCAGCCGGGAAATGGTTCGGGCCTAGCGGAGCCGGGACTGGAGGTGAGACAGGCGGACAGACTGACTAAAGGCCTGGCCCAGCCACGGGGGAATGAGGGCTCTACCTGGGGTTCCGGGAAGCCCCTCCTGGCTAGCACTGCTGAATTCGGCTTCGCTTCGCATCTTTGCCTTCCTCTTCTCTGCCCTCCCCCCCTCGCCACCCCCAACACACACACAAAGCTAACCCAACCGTAACAAAAATTCCGTCAATCCATTTTTTCAGCATTTCGTTTTTCTTCTTTTGTCCATTCTTCCTCTTAGAAATTCGATCGGCTGATGTGTCACTTTTAAATTTCCTCGTCAATCTCAAGTTATTTCTAGTTGAGGAGAAAATAGGCCCAGATTCTGGCTATCATTACCCAACTAGTTCTCGCTTTCCTTCTCGCGATCCTGCGCATCTCCCCACCACCCCTCCCCGCCTTTGCAAAAAAAAAAAAAAAAAAAAAAAAAAAAACTGCAGAGAAAAGGAAAAAATTTCCGCCTTCGATTAGCGCAGAGGGTTGACTAAAAATGGGAATGAGGGTGTAATACTTGAATCCCCCCATAACTTCTGACTGGGCCAGCTAGCTAGTTATCGGATCGCTTCTATGTGGATAGTGATGTTGGGGCCTTTCCTCCAGCTGCCTGTGCTGGGGTTAATCTCGTAATTGACGTCAGTGCTTTGTTCCTTCCACTTTGCTGTTCCTTCCACTCTTTGAGGCTGGATCGTGGGGTATAGGAGTTTGGGGAGTCTCCTTGGTGCCTTTTAATTCCCAAACGACGTTAATTTATAGGGAGTTGAAAGTTCAAATATCAAATGCTTGTGTATGGAGTTCAAACTCAGACGAAGAGTTCGGTTTAGGGTGTTTGTGGTTTTTTGTCAGCTGCAATTCAGAATTGTGTAATTTCTTCCCTACTGGCCATATGGAGATTTTAAATTGTCTCTTTACTGTGGCTGGTGTTTTTCTTGATGAAATCTACCCTATAGGTGCTGATGAATAGACTGTAAATGTGACATTTAAAATGGGTGCTGTTTTTCTTAGGACAGATGTTACAAGCAAGCTTTGTAAAGTGCTTGTTTATTTAACTGTCCTTTAATTTATCAAAATTGAAGTCTTTATGAGACCTTTCTTAATTTGGGATTTGATAAAAGAGTCTTTGTGGCCTGTGAGTCTTCCTAGAATCATCTCTGGTCATATGTGTGTAAAGAAATGTTGGCAAGTGGCCACTTGTTTTTTTTTTTAAACAAAGCTGGCTTCTTTAAGTGTCTCAGGTTTATTTTCCTTATTTATTACTGCATCTTTCAATCTTCAAACATAGAAAAGGTCTCCAAGAAGTTTTTTTTTTTTGCCATCTTTTAGTATCATTTTAGAAAATAAATGTGGAAAAGAAGTCAAATGTTTGTTCACACTAGTAGTTTCATTCAATTTGTGATGGTTTGCAGGCTGATTTTTGTTAGCTCGGGAGTAGCAATAGGCAAAATTTACTTCAAATAAAATTTTGCATCAAGTGTGGACAAAACAGGTTACTTATGATTGACCAAATCTTTACTGTTTGGCTAAAAAAAAAAAAAAAAGGTTTAGCTGTGTTAATTGGAAAGTCGTGTACAATTTTGGAGTGTAAAGGTGGCTCTGTAGCTGTGGTGAAGCTATGTAATTAAGGGTCCTTAAGAGGAATTGTTTTCTTTTAGACTCACTTTCTACTTTTCAGATGACATACATTCTTGAGTTATAGTACTCCTTAGTAATACTTATTACATTCTGCTTTGTACTGTCATTTTCATATGCTTGCCATGTATTTAGAACAAAGAGCAAATTTATTCTCCCGGTACCATTCCTACTATTTTATACAATTAGGAGGTTGAATTAGAATGTGAAAAATATTTTGAACTTGAAATTATTATCCTATCAAGCTGTCCAACCTAACATTTCACAGAAGGGTTATCTAAAGAAAGCTGCATGAGCAAGTGATTAGTATTTGAAGGAGAAAAACTACAGAATTATAACATCAATTACAAAAGATGACAATATAATCATTCTAAAAGTTACAATTCTTATTTTTTTTCAGATGTGGATTAATGTTAAGGTTTTATGTGTACCTAAGGGGAACAAAGAAAACAGGTATTTCTTCTTTTGTGGCCATCTACTGGTCTGGTAGCGTAGCGGTTACGAATCGGACTACGAGCCGCAAGGTCAGCAGTTCGAAACTACCAGCAGCTCTGTAGGAGAAAGATGAGGCTTTCTACTCCCGTAAAGATTTACAGTCATGGAAACCCTGTTCAGGGTCGCTGTGGGTCAGAACCAACTTGACGGCACCTAACAACAACAACTGGTCTGGAATAGAGTCCAAAATATAAGATGCTCTCTTTTTCTTTGTTGTTGTTGTTAAGCACCGTGGAGTCGGTTCCAACTCATAGTGACCCTGCACAGGGTTTCCAAGGCTGTAAATCTTTACGGGAGCAGAACGCCTCATCTTTCTCCCACGGAACCACTGGTAGTTTCGAACTGCTGACCTTGAGGTTGGCAGCCCAACTTGTAACCACTACGCTAAAATCAAAGAGGTGTTCATATTATTGAGGTGAGGGCACACCTGAACTGTGACCCAGAAGTGCAATGTGTATTCTGAAAATCGTTGACTTAAATTTTATTTTTACTTTGGCTCCATTATACAGGTATCTACCCTACTATGACAGACTTTCCTGTGTGATGGTTTCCCAGATTTTGAATCCCCAGCCCTCATAATGTTTTATTCATTTCCTTTCTCATTTCCTCTGATAAGTTAGAACAATTATATTTGATTTCTGGGAGGGTGTTCGCCACCTCAGTAATTGTGAAATTATGTATAGTCAGTGACTAAAGACTTCTTAAAGTGAAACTTACCTGTAACCTGGCTACTTTTTCCTTTGGGATAAGAAAAGAACTCCTACTTGTAGTAACAATCTATACCTACCCATCTTGGTCATTTGAAGTGATATTCTAGACATGAAAGAAGGCAGTAATAACATTCTAGATACTGAGAATTAGCTGTTCATCTGCATTCCTGTTTGTTTAATGTTCATAATCTGGCAATTTTAATGTTACTTCTTGTTACTAAGTGCCATGGTTCCCACTCATAGAGGCCCTCTGTAGGGCTTCCAAGGAGCAGTTGGTATTTTTGAACTACTGATCTTGTAGTTAGCAGGCCAGTCCTTGTCCTATAGCACCACACCTGGTAGCACATAGAAAATATCCGAACTACTGTGTTCATTTCTAAAATACTCTAAACATTTTAATATTGTTGTTGAGTGCCGCTGAGTCATAGTGACCCTGTATAGGGTTTGTGGCGCTGTGGGTTAATGCACCAGTCTGCAAAGCATTTGAACTCCAATGTCGGCAGTTCAAGCTCACCAGCTGCTCCTTGGAAATCCTATACAGTGTTGCTACGGGTTGGAATCAACTCAATGGCACTTAACAACAGCGGCAGTTCTGTTTTTGGAGTTCTGGTATGGCGCTGTAGGGTAAGCACTCTACTGCAAGGTTTCAGTAGCAAGGTCATGGTTCCAACCCACCAGTCTCTCCTTGGAAACCCTGTACAGGGTCACTGTGAGTTGGAACTGACTCCACAGCACTTAACAACAATGACATTCTGTTTTTAAGGAGCCCTGGTGGTGCAGTGGTCAAGCCACTCAGCTGCTTACAAAAGGTCGGGAGTTCAAACTTACTTACCAGCTGCTTTCAGGGAGATTGTGTGAATATTTACAGAATTGGAAACCTAACGGGGCAGTTCTTTCAGTCCTACACAGCTGCTGTGAGTTGGAATCAACTTGATGGCAGTGGGTGTTCTATTTTTTAAGGAAAAAATTCTGTTGAAAATCTACCTGCTTCATCAGCCATACTTTAAATAAAAACCTGTAACCTAAGAAAGGTTCTGAGAGAGAACATTTCATGTAACTTGATCCTTTTTGGAGTGCATTGTGTACACGGAGTCCTGGTGTGGTGCTTTACGATAAGCACTGGACTACCATTCACAAAGTCTGTGGCTCAAATCCATCAGCCATTCCTCAGAAACCCTATACAGGGTTACTGTGAGTCAGAACCGACCTGACAACACTCAACAACAACAATGAACTTGGTGCTGGTTTTTAGGTAAGGAGATGTACGTTAGTTATTAGTAATGTTTTAAAATATTTCGATCATTTGATCACCATTTCCTGGAAAATGGAAAAGAACTTCATGCATTTTTTCCCAGGGTTGTGTGGGGAAGAAAAAAAAGTTAGTGAGATGAATTGATTACCTTGTATAATTTAGCTACCCAGGGATTGAAATGATCTGTCCTGAGACTGGACTCTCAGCGGCTGTTTTAGGTCTCAATGGCTGTCCTAAGATTTTGCCAATTTGGAGTTGCTTGTAAGTTACGACTTTTCACTTTGACTATTTCCTTTTTTTTTAAAAATGTTTATTGTGAATTATGTGATAGTTTACATGGGAGAACATTAGCTTTACATTCATCCTATCCTATATCGTTTCATTGCCATGGTTACAATCCCCTCCATGCATCATCAACCAACCAAAGGATATACCCTGCAATCCTGTTCACCAGTCGTTAGCACACAGCCCCTCTCTCTCTCTGGGTCTAGAGTCCCCAGCTGCTCCGTCTCTCCAAGTCATCGCCTGACTATTTCCTTTTCATTTATCACTAGGGAAGAGACAATTTTATGGAGAGGCAAGTACAGGCCTTCCCATCTATTTGATAATTGCTGCCATTTCTTCCATCTGGAATACCATTTTTCCACTATTACTTCCTTCCTGTCAAAATGTCACCTTTTAAGATCCGTTGCAAGTTACCATTGACTTCCTGTAGTTTTGCCCATCCCAACCCCCACTGAAAATTGTGATCTCTCTTCTTTGAATCCCACTTTATATTTCTCTGAATTTATTACTTATTAAGTAGCTTCTGTGGGGGACTGAAGTCCTTTTGTGGCTCTGTAGGATAAGCACTGGACTGCCCAACCACAAGGTTGATAGTTTAAACCCGCTAGCCATTCC